AACAAGGTCTTAAACGCCCTCACCTAGGACCTGTTCGAGCCCCTAAGGGACGTCAGTCTACGCTTCCTGTCATACAACGTGGTGTTCCTGGTGGCTATCAGCTCCACCAGGCGAATATCTGAGCTGGCAGCTCTGTCGACCAGGAAGGACCTCTGCGTCTTCCATGCTGATAGAGTGGTTCTACCCCTGGACCCAACATTCATGTCCAAGATCAACACGTGGTTCCACAGGGCTCAGGAACTTGTATTGCCCAACTTTTGCACTGAGCCAGTCCACCATTTGGAATGCACTTCGCATACCTTGGTTGTGCGGAGGGCTCTCTGCATCTATGTTTAAAGGACCTCCTCTCTCAGGAGGACGGAAGCCTTTTTTGTCTCCTTCCAACCGGCAACACTTGGTTGCAGGGTTACATCATCAACCTTGGGGAGATGGATTAGGGCTTGTATTGCTAAAGCATATGAGGTCCAGGCCTTACCGGTCTCAAGAAACATCACTGCCCATTCTACCAGGAGCGCAGCAACTTCGGCTGCATGGGCTACCCAGGCCTTACTAGAGGAAGTCTGTTGGGCCGCTACCTGGTCGTCCCCTTCGCCATTCATCTGCCACTATAAGCTGGACACTTACGCCTCAGCTGAGGCAGCTTTTGGCAGGCGGATGCTCCAGAGAGTCCACTCAGAGTGGGGGACGCAGGACTGGACTACTCCCTCCCAATAGGACAGCCAGCTTTGGTATGTCCCATACCCATACCGGGTGGGGCTGACTGCTGTTCCCTCCGTTATGGAGAAGGGGTGTTGGTCTTACCTGACACGCCCTTTCTTGGGATAGAGGGAACAGCAGTCAGCCCCACCCGGTTTTCTGTCCGGTCCTGGGGTTCAGGAGGGATCTGCACTTCTTTTGTTTTCACAGCTCAACATGTCAGTCTGTGTCGACGCCTTCATCAAAAAGCTGGGAAGCAACAGGAAGAGGTGTGGCTTAACAGTTTGCTGACTCAGTCCTAGCAGCTAACACAGAGTTAACCCATTCCTGACTGCTGTTCCCTCCGTCTTGAGAAAGGGCGTGCCAGATAAAACCAATGCCCCTTCTCTTCCAAGAAGCTTCTCCGGTTCTTTTAGTATGAGCTGTCAAAGCAACAGTAGCCTTGGAGACATAGAAAGCCACAGCTGGATGGCAGGGAAAATCTTGCAGAGGGCTATCAGACACTTCTTAACACAGGAGGTCTTGTTCATTTTCCAATGGAAAATGCTACTTTCCTGCCAGATCATCACTCTTGTGGATGTATAGCGTGTCTGAGCTTGTTTGCTAAGAAAGGGCACTTTATTCACGATAAGTCATTTTACTGTTTTTGTGATAATTTAGATGTTTTACTTTATATTGTGGTTTCTTGTTAACCATTTTGAGTGCCCTATGATGCTATATGAATCATACACATAATTATTCCAAATTTGTTACAGAGGCACAATATAATTTATTGATTAGCTTGTTTGTTTCAACCACTTGTATACCACCAAATGTACAAGGAATGTTGGTTGTTACAATCATAAATTAACTTTCAAAACATCAATGGTAAATAATAATCAACAAAACCAATTAAAATATTCAGAATAAACAAGATTAGCCAATATAAAATCAATATAATAAAAATCAACTAATATAACTTTGAAGGAACAAATACTGACACAATATCTTCTTGGAAAGCGTCTATATAGAGCAGCAAGGAATGAAGAATACAAGTGACAGTATTACTAAACTGAATGTACTCTGTGACAGTCTTCTTCCATATAGACCAGGGCTGTCAAACTCACAGCCTGCGGGCCGGATGCGTCACGTGCTGGCCCCACCCACACCCAGTTTAGTGAAGGGCAAAAAAGCCCCAATACGTCATGTGATGCCGCCATGATGATGTGAGTTTGATGCCCGTGATCTCGACAATATTTGGGATCCATCTAAACATCTATTTGGAAATATGTCAGATTTGAATATTAATTTTAAATCAGTTTGATAACTAAAACAGATTTTTCAGGATCTAGATCCTACTAACAGATGGGTGTATAACACAGCATGAACCTCTTTGTATCAAAATAGCTGTTTTTTTGAGGCTCTTGCAAAGAAGTTCATTGAGTGATATGTATACCTGTGAGATTTTTACTAAAGCAGTTGATGTGATACCCACATGAGGACTTGGCCTCTGCTTCTGAGAAATTTAGAAACTTCAGAACCTCATTCTATGTTTCATGCAGGGGCCATAGTATGATCATGATTTAAGAGGTGTTAATAATAATGATTGTAGCATTGTTAAATCCAGATGCCATGTGGCATTTGTAGTCAGGGCACTACAGGAAGTCTGATTCTGTGTACATTTCTAAAATCAAATGCTTTTAATTAAAGTCAGGCAATTGCAGCTCTGCACACAGACAAATGGCACTTTGTTGCCTCTGACTTAAGAGATGGTTTAGGCTAGTTTGTATTTATATATTTCTCTTTTCAAATCCAAATGATGGGATGATAATCCAAATCAATGTCAAAAACGAATTAAAGAAACTACAATGTAGTTTTAAAGGAGGTGAAGTGATAAGTTTGTAACTGTTGTAAAGAAGATCAGAAGTTGCTTTTCAAAATATCTTTCTTTTTTCTTTTCTGTACTTTTTCCTACTCTTTCTTTTCTTTTTTTTCTTTTGCTGAATTTTTTGTTTATATTTTATTCATGTAAAAATCTCATAATAAAGTTATATTAAAAACACCCAAACAAACAAGAGAATTCCAGTACCAACAGAACATAATTTAATTATTGTATAGAACATAGAAATTTTTTAAAAAGTATAATATTGGTGATAATTCCTTATGATTTATTCTTTGTGTGTTCCTGATATAAAAAAAAGTCCAACGGTATTATTTCATTTATTTCCATTTATAACCTGTTGTTCTGTCCATTGTTCAAGTTATCAATAGAGCTTTTGTCCTAAATATTAGGAAACCTGTTATTTACATCTTTCCAACTGAACTTTCCTGGTTTCTGTTGTTTGTCAGTTGCATGCTTTTAACTCTGCTTGTTGACTTGAGTATTCTTTAAAATAATGAGCTCTTCAGGATTTTGAACTGTGTTCCGAATATCAAATTCCAGACATTGGAACACAGTAGGGAGTGCTGGCATTTCCTTTTCACCAGTCTAATTTACAAAAAAAATTAGGGATATGTGTGTAAGAAATTGGAATGTGGGAGTGTGTAAAAAAAAAAAGTACTTGCAGATACTTTTGTCCAAAAATTCTGTGGTGCAAGATACTTAAAGTAGGCTGCCAACAGGTGAACTTTTCCATAACACCCGCAACATGAGCTGCGGTGGTGCAGTACTGCAGGCTACTTCTGCTGACTGCCGGCTGTCTGCAATTTGGCAGTTCAAAGGTTGACTCTGCCTTCCATACTTCTGAGGTGGGTAAAATGATGACCCAGATTGTTGAGGGCAATATGCTGACTCTGTAAACCACTTAAAGAGAGGGTTGCAAAGCACTGTGAAGTGGTATATAAGTCTTAAGTGCTATTGCTATTGCTATCCAAGTTTCTCCAGAAAGTGTCTTTAGCCCTTTCATCTAGGACTTTTCCCTTCAACCCAGTCCTAAGAAAGAGCGGCATTTGAATCTTGTGAGCAAGAATTCTGAACAATACAGAATTTAACCAACCTTGTGCCAGTTTTGAAACACAAAAGATGAGCATTTCTCCAGTCTTGCATATAGGCAACATTTTAATGAGAAATTCCTTTGGCAAATGAAGCCAAATCTCTAAATATAAAAATGGAATTTATTGAAGGAAACGAAAAACAAGGAGGGCAGCTGCCACATGAAGAGATTTCCAAATCAATACAATTATCCTAGCTAAAGTCATTGCTTATTACCTCTTTAAATAAAGGCTTTGATTTAGCATATAATCAAGGTGGAGAAAGGATAGCAGGAGAGAGGACAGCTGGGCCTTCTGCCTGAATATTTTTCTGTTTTCAGAACTATGTTCAGTGTAACAGAATATAAAACAGAAGTGAAACGCAGCCTTTTTGAAGAGACTCATTGTTGCTTTGCCCTGTCATGGAAAATCTCTGATGTGCTATGTCTTAATCAGATACTAAGTGGTAATTAAACCCTTCTTAATGATCCTTGCTGGAATGATAAAGGCACAATCTAGTTTTCGTTAGGTAGCTAAAGACTATCACTGTTGACATAAGAAGGAGCTTGCAAGAATTCATAATAGCTACAGACAGACAATTTAGCAAACTGTAGGCTCCCAGTTCAATAGGTTATGAGGAGTTAGAAACAATAAGCAACTGTACAGCAACACTACAACAGCAACAAAGGTTGTACCATTTAATAAATAGGTTAAGCGCTTTGAAAAATAAAACCTGCATTGTATCTATTTAAATCTCTCAATTTCTCCGAAGCTTCAAAGGACAGTCTTGTTCCACTGAAAAAAATAAGGGTTGTCACATTCAGTAATTTATGAATACATATGAAGACAGTTTATGATAAGAGTAAGCAATGCCATGCCCCCAGAGTGCCCCATCCAGGCACTCTATTGCTACCTCCAATTTTATTTATGCTTGTATTTATTTAGATACATCTAAATAAATACAAAATCCTACAAAATCCCAGGCTTCAGCCTCATTTCCAAGTATGGCTTTTTAGACATTGACAGATAGCAAAGCTAGTGGGTGGGCCGAAGCCTAATTCTTTATTTAAAAGTATGCTCATCTGTCCAGGAGAGACAAAACTAAGGTGGCAAGAAGAGATGTGGAACTAGAAGGGATAGCGAAGCACCCCTCCCCTTATTATCATGATTGACAGTGGTCACCTTGGCAGCTATTTTTGTAATAGAGAAATTCTCTGTTGTCTATCCTAGCTCAAAATTTTGGGATCTGCAGTCTAAATAAAGTAGAGGTCACAAAATTAGAGAAGGCTGGCATAAGGTATGGTACTAAATCGAATCTATACTGGCTGATTCCAATTACATCCTGTGTTTTTTAGGTAAAGTAATGGATGGGCGAGCAGAGATGGAGGTGATAAGAAGCACAAAAGGAAATGCAACTGGGGAGGTCAGTGTCCATTTGGTGGCCAGTGAAAATACTGTGCAAAATGCCCACTTACCAGCAACTACCTTCATCATACCAGGTGAGTGCTCAAATGCTGAAGTTTGTTACTTTTCTGCCTCCAATTCTTTTGCAGTTCCTTTTTTCCATTTTTATGCCTTTAGTATCAGATCACATACACAGCCGAGTCATTTTTCCTCATTTATTTGGTTCTATATTTTTCAAGTTGATATCATACATTAATAAAAGACATTTCTAAAAAGTTGTAAGATGTTGCAACACTATATTTTGCTTGAATGTTGTTCTTTTCATAACCCCTCCCCCCAGGTATATGAGGACATAAAGTACACAGAATTAGTGCAATTGCAAATGGCCAGTGGTGGGTTGCCCCCGGTATGCACTGGTTCTGTAGAACCGGTAGTAAAACCGGTGGGAGGCTCCGCCCACCGACCCTGATGTCATCAAAACACTTCTGCGCATGTGCAGAAGCTTCTGCGCTTGCACAGAAGAGCACACGCACGCGCGAGCCCACTGCGAACCCCACATGCCTGTGCGGCCCCACGCACGGTAGTAAAGGTAAGTAGAACCCGCCCCTGCAAATAGCATATACCTTTTAAAACAATGGGTATCACAATTACACTAGAAAAAGTATATTGCTAACATTTGCTTTTAAAGCTAAAGTTTCCCTATTGATTATAGCATTCTTAGGAGAAAGATGGATGTTGTATTTAAATTTCTTGATTTTAAGTAACTGAGCGTCTTCAGGGATGTTGGACTACAACTCCCATCTATTCTAGCTATCTTCAGATTATACTCTAGAACAGTAATAGCATGTGATGTGTCAAAAATTCGGGCCTAACATGACTCTGCTGCCCTACCACCCCCCCCCCCACACTCCAGACAAAAGAGCAACAATTTATAACAAAGAGTCATTTGGGGTAGTCAGATGGCAGCATAAAAGTTTAATAAATAAAAAATCTTACATAAATATTTTTTTGATTTGACTTCATCACTTAGGAACAAAAACCACCTATCCAAAGCAGTTTTGGGTTGCAAAAGGCCTGGAAACTTCAGAGAATGCTCTTGGGTGGCCTTGCAACCACTGAAAAGAACAGAAAAGTATGGCTCATTGTTGCACAATTTTCAAAGGCTCCAGAGCCACACAAGATCAGGGCCCATTCACACAACTTCCAGAGAGTCTGGAGGTCACGTGAGATCACACCACATTCTTGCAAACCCTGGAGCCTCCAAAAGTCACCCAAGAACTTCCTGGATTTTTTGGATAGTGCAGAGGCAATATTAGAATGTGGTGTGCTCTCATGTGGCCTCTGGGCCAGTGCTGGGTTGCTCCCGGTTTGGTCCGGTTCTATAGAACCGGTAGTAAAACTGGTGGGAGGCTCTGCCCACCCGCCATGATGTCATCATGGGTAATCTGCGCATGTGCAGAAGCTTCTGTGCATGCGCAGAAGTGCGTGTGAATGAAGCAAGCGCATGCACGCTCCCGTTGTGAAACGGTAGTAAAGGTAAGTGGAACCCACCCCTGCTCTGGAACCTCTGAAAGTCACACAAGAGGGCCCTGCTTCGCACAGCCACTGGAGTCTCTGAAAATTATGCAAGAATGTACAAGAACACACCATCTTCTCATGTGGCTTCTAGATGTGTCATTAAAAATAACATGACAAGTCATACATGTGTCATAGGCTTGCCATCACTGGTCTAGGACATCTGGAAGATACCAAGGTAGAGAAGGTTGAACTGAGCATTCAAGTATGATGCTGAGGTTTTAAAATGTATTCTATCCCTTAAAGCAGTAATGGAAATTTTTCTTGAAAAAAAGAAGGGAAGAAGTTACATTTTATTTTATATGTGCATTTATTCTGGCATTACAGGAACCTGAGCAACATTTTGATGGCCTGTGATCATAACTCACTGGAACTGGCAGTGAGAAAATGTTGGAGGGAAATAATTTCTATTTGGCGGGTGGGGTGGGGTGGGGTTAAAGGATAACCACTCTACCCCTCTCCAAATGCCAACAGAAGGCAAAAGTGTTGTCCTCACTGCAAGATGATTCTGGAGCCAAAACGGGATGCCCTGGGATTATTCAAATTACAGATTTGGAACTCCCTGATTTTATACTACTTGTAAAGTTTAGGAATCTTTCACTTCTATTCATATTCCCTTCAGCACTCGGCTATATCTGGATTACATTGCTCTGTAATGAAATTGGGTGACCTTTGCTCAAAGGTAATTATTTACCTGCATGTATATCAGTATGTTTATACTGTACAGTTTTTCTTTTTCATAAGCAACTACAACTACTATAAACCTTCCAGTGAACACCTTAGAAATCCAGCGATTCCCCCGAGAAGCCCAGAAAAACATGGGGACAGAGAGACCAAGAGAGGGTGTGGGGAACGAGCCCATCACAGCAACAGTCATCCCTCAGATCAGCGGAGTGCAGATTTGCAACACCATCCGGGATCTGGAATGGAAAGATGGGATTGCCACTCTTCCTGGGAGCAACCTAAGGGTAAATTAATGAAGACTCTTTTTTTGTTGTTGTTGTTTGTTCTTAAGTGTGTATACCATTGGGCAAATTTCAGGAGTAGTACTTGATTGATACATAATATACAGATTAGTCCTCAATTTACGACCAGCCACCCACCAATCATTCAAAATTATGACAGACGCCTCACCCAAAAGCTACTTACAACCTTATTTTAAATTTACAGAGGCTGAATTTACAGAGGCTGACCACACACACACACACACACACACACACACACACACACACACACACAATCATGTGATCATATTTTGGGCATTTGGCAACTATCTTGCATCTCCCCACTGTCACATGAGTGTTTTAACTTTTTTTTTTTCAATTTCTGGTGTTTACTTCCCGTTTCTGTTAAAAAAAAAAGATCTACTGGATAAAATGGATTTCCTTCATGAACCCTGCATTTTCTTATCAGCCGTAATGTTCACTTAATGACCAGCACAGAAGAAGTCATAAAATGACTGATTTAACAACCACAAAAATTTAAGACTGTAATTCTGGGGTCAGTTACGTTCATAAGTTGAGAACTACCTATACTAGGCCTTTCAACAGCACACAAAAGGAAAACATGATGAGAACCTGGGTCTGGCATTCAGGTCTTTTGCTGAAGCATGACACTTGTCCCTACGTACCCTCAATAACATTTATATGCTTAATTAAAACTACAGTTCTGATTTGAGATGATTATTTAATAGAGATCTAGAATCTATTATTGAAATTTTTAAAAAGGAATTTAGGCCAGCCTCTTAAATATACCAAGCGATTATTCATTACCACATTCGTTTACTAAAGCTATATTCTTGCAAGTATTCCCTTTGTCCCTTAACTCCTGATGTCATGCATATTAGCATGTCCTATGAACATACCCAAAGCACACATTGGTTCAGCTACTGTTTTGCAATCCAGTTTACCTCACAAAGTGCCTGTGAAGGGAAACCAAGATGAATGTGGTGTGTTTTCCTATGCTCAGTGAAAGAAGGGCAATTTGTTTTCACTCCATCACAATATTGTCATGTCTCAAATTTGCTGCTTGCTTCCCCATTGACTTTTTCTTTCCATCTTGTATTGACACAGTTTCGAATAAATGAATATGGGACAGTGAAAGTAGTTAGTGCTGACAAACCTTCACCTGCAGAACCTATACAGGAATGTCAGCCGGAAAGAAATGGGGATGATGGAGGGGTACTTACCTGCAAGGGCAATCCTATCAGGACTCCAGGTGAGGATTTGGAGAGTGGAAGCCTACAAACCTTTATATACTCATTTCCACAAGAATAGGTTCTACTAAACCACGGCAATGTGGAGAATGTTAAAAGCCATGACTAATTGCTCTTAATACTTCTTGAATTTCAAAGATGTCCTGATTTCCTGGAAAATGTGAATTCCTCAAGCACTCTTTTCCTCTAGTCCTGATCATTCTCTGTTACCCAGGATAATATGTGTTTGTGTATCATTTACTTCTTTCCAGTCCCAAAGTAATGTTGCAAATAAATGTTGTGTAGGTCCCAGATAACTTATCCCTTATTTTATTGGTCAGCAGGATTACTCTCTGAAAAATGAAGAGAAATGTACCCACTGATATGGCAGAAGAGGATTGACTTTAAAAACAAGTTTGGATTCAGCAAGGGGTTGCAGAGAAAAAAAATCCATAAAAATTTGCATAATGTAAAAATGTTAGGAAAGAGGCAATCAGACAGTAACTTAGAATGCTTCTAATTGCTTCATTCTTAACGCCCCCCCCCACTCCTTCATCCCTCATAATCAAGTTGGAGCTGCTATTAAAAAGTTGGACTGTATTCCAGAATCCATAATATTTATACTTTATGTTGTAGTCTTCGTAGTTATTAATCATAAGCCCACATATTTTTGTCTGTTTGAGGCTTTGCCAGGCCTTGTGCAAAATGTAAAGGGCTTTATTTCAAAATGGATGATTCCAGGGACCATTTGTGGAGAGGAATTTTAGTGTTTTCAGTGATAAAATTAATTCCTTAAACCTTTGCAAAGTGTAAAGTGTCATTCTGATACTTAAAACCCCCAACACTGAAAAATATAAAATAGATGTTTCAAATGTTGAGCTTCTGCAACTCTGATCATGGTCTGAGTTGTGAAAGATAGGCTGTTATATTTTCATTTTGTACCCTTGGCCTAAAATATGTCTAATTGGCACATAAAATATACCCAGAGCTCAGCCCACTGGATTATCATTCTGCAATTTGGCCTGACCCAGAAAATGTTCTCATTATCATAACATTGATGTGACTTATTTGAGCTTTTCACTTTCTGATTTCTGTAGAATCAGATATTCCAGAGCCTCTTAAACTTCCAACGGTAGACAACCTATGCCACTGCAATACTTGTGGCCGAAGAAATATTTCTGGGTCAACCCAGGAAGGCCGGGCATTTTGCAGTGAGAACTGTCACCGGCAGTTCAAAGAAAGGTAATAAAGACGTTGTCTTTAAAGAGGATGGGGAGAGGAGGTAGGGAGAAAAGAAAAAATAATGCACTTTTTATGTCTTGTTCCTGCTGTTTTTTCCCTTTCTTCCATGGACAGAAAGGTATACTGTAAATCTTTTTTTAAAGGAGCACTTGGGCAAAAGAGCATCCATTAATGCTGAATAACTAATATAGACAAATTTATGTAACATAGGTTATATCAGTGTTTCCCAAAGTGTGGTACGCGTACCCCCAGGGGTACCATATGTTTTTTATGAGGGGTACTCAGCGTTACGAAAATTATAGAAGGGGTACACTTATGTCAAAAGTTTGGGAAACACTGGGTTACATCAATGTTTCTCAACCTTATCGGCTTTAAGATGTACGGATTTCAACTCCCAGAAGTTAGTAAACATTGTAGAGAAGCACAACCTACACATATATTAAGTGGACTTTCTCTGTAGGTGATCTTTTGACCTGAGGATTTTGCAAGGGGTATACGAATGTCTATAGAGGAATCATATTGCCCTTGCCAAAGTACATTTTCTTATAATTTCACCGGAATGAATGTTCTCAATTCCAAATATTTTTCATCTAGATTGAGGGATTTTGGTTTCTTTTTTTATTTAGGATAAGAATATGATGTCAAAATTGCTTTGTAGTGATGAATGTCAAGCATGGACTTATTATCAATGTTGATTAGTCTTGGTTTTCCAACTAAAATGATGGTTGAGAAACAGAATTAAAGTGCATGAATCAATTTCATTTAAGGTTTTATTGCAGTGTCCTTGAGTGGAAATGCTGTAGGTAAAGTGTAGTATTTCTGAATGTTTAAAAATGTTGGGGTGTGCCTTTCTTGAAAAAAAATCGTTTATTGTTATTTTGTCAATGTTGTTGCACTAGATAGTTCTAGTGTTAAGAATAACCCAACACTCATTGCTTGAGCAACATTATCTGGAGAATCTGCAAGTTTGGGTGTTGCTTTTGCAGGTCTGTCATTGTGGAGAATTCTGCTGGCATCACCAACACTACTGAACTTCTCAAACCAGTAAAGAAACGGAAGAGGAAAGATTATCAAAGCCCTTCAGAGGAGGAAGAGGAAGAATCAGAGCAAATGGTGTGACTGGGATGTTCTTGCATGTATTTGCAGTAGAATCTGATAGCAGCATTTTTTTTCCTGGTATGCATGCTCGCTCATTCACTGGACTGGCCTAAATTAGAGCCAGTCAGACCATGGAGCCATAGCTTTAACCAGTGGACACTACAAAATAGAGACAGGCAACTATTTTTTTAGTGCAGGAGGGAGGTACAGCTGCCTTAAATTCGTTGTCCCCCACAGATATAAAGGAATGGTCCATAGCAGGGGTGAAATCTAAATTGTTTTGCTACCGGTTCTATGGGCGTGGCTTAATTAGTGGGTGGGGCTTGGTGGTAAGGTGACTGGGAGGGTGTGGCTTGTTGGTCAGGTGGGCGTGGCCAAGTCAATGTCACTTCTTTGTCCTTTTTTAACCTACAAAACACAACACAACACAACAGGTTCACCCACAATGTAAAAGCAGCTGTGCTAGACCCAAAATGGCCCCTGCAACAAGCAGGAACCTCACACAGCCATAAAAAGCCCAAAAAACCAACTTTCACACTTTACACACACAAAATTCCACATACTGCTTTGTGAGATTTTGTGTGATTGTGTAGTTAGAGTGAAACACTACAGAAACACACTAAATCTCAGAAAGCTGCACAAATATTATTTTATTTTAATTTATTTTTATTTTTATATAAAAGCAGCTAAATTTAAAACTTCCTAAACTTTAAATGGCTAGGTTTAAAAAAAGAACAATTTTAAAAAAACCCAATTAACTATTTTTTTAAAGCTCCCAAAGGGGAAAAAAACTTACCCAATTGAACAGGGTCTCCAACCTTGGCAAATTTAAGACTTGTAGACTTCAACTCCCAGAATTCCTCAGCCAGCTTTGTTTTGCTGGCTGAGGAATTCTGGGAGTTGAAGTCCACAACTCCCTGCCTGCTTGATTGCAAGGCATTGCGACCAGCGGCTAAGATAAGCAAGCTGAGGGGGGGAGGGGGAGGGGGAGGGATTTTTGCTACCGATTAGCAGGCAGAGCCATTTAAAAGGAAAAAAAAATTTCTTTTACATGGCTCTGGCGATCCAAGCTGAGTTGCCTGATTAGCAGGCAACTCAGCTGGGATCGTCAGAGCTTGGCTGATCAGAGCCATTTAAAAGGGAAAAAAAAGGCTCTGATGATTGCGCGGCTCAGCTGGGCATGGGGGGCGGGGGCAGGGACTTTTGCTACCAGTTCTCTGAAGTGTCCGCCGCCATCGCTACCTACTCGCCCGAGCTGGTCCGAACCGGGAGCATTTCACCCTTGGTCCATAGGCACAACATAACATACGCATATCTATTTGCACATGTAACCTATAGGACTTCTAGAGAGGAAAGAAATATTCATATCTGTCCTCCATTCCCTCAGTGATCAAGATTCCGCTTCTAAGTGACTGTTACATTCTAAATACAGGTTCTTTTACATATAAGGATGGTACTGAATAGTGCGGTATCCATTCTTTTCCTAAATTGGATGTGCCATGATACCTTTATCATTTTTCCCCTACTTTCCACTGGATGGTTTGAGAAGCAGCTTTGCTGCACCAGATACATCAGCTTTTGTTGGTTTTTCTTTGTGGTTGTATTTTGATTCTTTACAAAATGGGGGAAACAAGGCAGAGTGCTAGGTGGAGGCCATTTCATATAGTTTTCTGTGGCCAGCAGAGCAATGCTGTGAGAGATCAAGGGGAGAAGGTCAGGACAGTCAGGCTGCATTGCGCAGAAATAAAAATAGTGCTGGTAATTTTGGACATGGTCAAAGCCAGCTGTCATTTGAAAGAGGTCTAGCTATAATTTTTGGTTTTGAAATAATTTATTACTTGACTCTTGCTTAACTTTTTAAACTTACAAATGTATACATTATAACCATATTTATTTATCAAATTTATATGGCTGCTCATCTCACGAGAAGTGACTCATACATATTCAGAATTCATATTCATTACACTGCAGAATTACTAATCCACATTGTTTTACCCATTGAAAACCGCATATTGTACAAGCCTAGTACCCTCCAGATGTTTTGTATTAAATAATTTATAATCTGTATTATTGAATATGATGGTGTGAGCTGAAAGGAGCTGTAGCTCAAAACATCTGGAGGGCATAAGGGGACACGGTGGCTCAGTGGCTAAGACACTGAGCTTGTCAATTGAAAGGCTGGCAGTTCAGTGGTTCGAATCCCTAGTGCCGCGTAACGGGGTGAGCTTTACTTGTCCCAGCTTCTGCCAACCTAGCAGTTCGAAAGCACGTAAAAAATGCAAGTAGAAAAATAGGGACCACCTTTGGTGGGAAGGTAACAGCGTTCCATGTGGCTTTTGCGTTTAGTCATGCTGGCCACATGACCACGGAAACGTCTTCAGACAGCGCTGGCTCTTCGGCTTTGAAACAGAGATGAGCACCGCCCCCTAGAGTTGGGAACCACTAGCACATATGTGCAAGGGGAACCTTTACCTTTTTAATGTTCTAAGGATTTCTGGAGTACAAGTTTTGTTAGGTATCAACCCAGTGGAACTAATCTTATGGAAGCAAAGAGTCTTGTAGCATCATAAAGACAGGAAATTTATGATAAGTCCTGGATAACCAACATGGAGCTTGTAGACACCACTAAATCAACAATATTCTTCTTGGTGCCTTCAAAGCTTCTTGCAGTTATCAAGAGGTACAAGTCCCTCTCCTGTGGCTCAAAGAGGAATTGAGATTTTTTTTTCGCACTTTGCATTGTGTTAATCAATTCACTAATGTGAGAATGTCTGTGTTATATGTCGCAAATATTTTGAGAATGCCAGTGTAATAAGGTTATTCTCACATCTGTGTTTTATTTTCCACTGACCTCTGTTTGCAGTCTCTGTCATCCATATAAACAGGCATTTATAACACTTTTTAGATCTGATGAAGGGAATTTTGAAAGCTTATGCCTTGAGCTTATATCACAAATATTGTTTGTCTTTAGAGTGCTACAAAATTCTTCGATTTATTACAAAGGGTAACCTGAAATTGATCACAGAAAGCTAGGGGACATAATTTGAAACCTTGGGAGTGACTACAGAGGTATTAAAAAAATTGGTGCCAAATAGTACATTTTAATCACTGAAAATTCATGAGGAATATTGTTATTAGTATATATATATATTCAGTGTAACTGAGTTGGAATTTAATCACTTCTAATTATGTTAATCTTCTCCTAAGTGTGTAGTGTTCCCCTTCTAAGAAAGCTTCCCTCAAATTTCCTGGTATCCCCATAAGTAAGAGATTTTGTTTGTGTGTTTTAGGAACTAAAGCAGGAGGAGATAAATGGTTCGGGAGGAAAACTTCCTGCTGTTAATAATAGTAATGAAGAATGGAATACCGATCAGTTTGGTAAGCATATAGCATGGCTTCCTTGTTTGAGCAACTATAATATAATCATTAATAATCCCCAATATGAAATGGTACTGTGTTTCCCTGAAAATAAGACCCTTTCTTATATTTTTTTGAACCCTGAAATAAGTGCTTGGCCTTACTGCCATTGGCTCAAAAGCCCAATTGGGCTTATGATCAGGGGATATCTTACTTTGGGGGAAACAAGGTATGTTCTGTCAGAGGTTATGCTTTTCTTATCTGTTCATTCTGAGATGCAGTCTGGCGATGCCTGTACCATCTGCAGCCAGAGTGCAGAATAAAAGGAAGAACCTGATGCTTTTAAGTAAAATGCAATGTTCAGTCTTCAACAGCTGAAAGCGGATGATGGCTATAATTTTGGAAAGAGGAGTATCCTAACTTTGCTAAACTAGATGTCTAAATGTCACTTAACAATGTTTTGGAAATTTCATTTTCTGATATTTTTAGTTTCCAGTGAAAAGGCAGAAAGTTGGACCTGGGCATCATACCTAGAAGAACAAAAAGCCACAGCTGCTCCTTTAAATTTGTTCCAAGAAGTGAGTTATTCTTTTACCTGCTATCTTTATGGAGCTTTGACATTTTGCTGTCAGTCAACATATTTAAGCTATAATCATTGATTCTTTTCTCTAAGAGCATATGATTCTTCTTTCTGGTTCCTGTGAGGTTTTTTTTTATGGTTGCTGTACTGTAGGAACCTCTTTTTACCTGAGAGATTTATTCCATAACACATAGGTATTTCTCAAATTTCCATCTTAAGCAAAGTTAAGGGGAAAAAAAGAAAATATTCATGGTAATGTTTATCAGACAGAAAAAAAATAGTGAACTTAAGAAATAGAAAATGCATTCTGGGATATGGGTACAATACGATCGTTTTTTTAGGGCCATTAAACTTTGGAAAGTCAAGTGAACTTTAAATGTAGCAAATAAAGTTATTTTGTTTTGGGAGAAACAAAAATGAAATTTGATACTCTTCTTTTACAGGGAGTCCTCAACTTACAACCAACCATTCATTTAGTAGCCAAAATTATAGTGGCACTGAAAGAGGTGATTTACGACCAGTCCTTGCACTTACAACTGTTGCAGCTTCCCCTTGTTATGTGATTACAATTTGGGCACTTGGCAACGGGCATGTATTTATGATGGTTGCAGCATTCCAGGATCATGTGATCACCATTTGTGATCTTCCCAGCTGGCTTCCAACAAGCAAAGTCAATGATGGAAGCCTGGTTTGCTTAGTGACCTAACAACTGCTGTGATTTGCTTACAACCATTAAAAACAAACTTGTAAAATCAGGCACAACTCCTGTAACAGCCACCGGGTTTAGCAATGGAAATTCTGGACCCAACTGTGATCATAAGTTGAGGACTTCCTATACCAGTGGAGAACCTTTCACAATCGAGAGTTAAATGCAGAGATAGGTTTATTATTTTGACATATTTCAAGACTTCAAAATATGTGTACTGAACCTCTGTTTCTAATAGAAGCAGAAACACGAGGCAAAGTTTGTAATCACATGGGATCTGCCATCATGGTTAAGGTGCCATATTAATTTCTGTCGTCTTATTGAAGTAGTTTCCATTTAATAGCATAAATGTATCATTAGAAGAAATTACGTACCGCTTACATTTTTTGTGTGATTTGTTCTTTTTAGCACCAGTCGATTACCCCAAATAAGAACGGTTTCAAAGTGGGAATGAAACTGGAAGGGATAGATCCTCAGCACCCCTCAATGTATTTTATTCTCACTGTAGCAGAGGTGAGATGAGTTTATACTGTTGCATATTGTTCTAGCTCAGCTATTCTCTTGTTTGCCCCTAGTTTCTTTCATTTACGTATTTTAAAGCTCGCCATTCATTTTAGGTTGAATATGCAGCCTAGTTGCAAGAAGTACTAAAACTAAAAATAGGGGCAAAAATGTTGTCATCATAAAATAGCATAAACTATCAGTGGAAAGCAACACATGATGATTTAATATGATAGCCCATGTGTTTCTGTTGCTTTTTCTGCATGCAGGTATGTGGCTACAGGATGCGGCTTCATTTTGATGGCTATTCTGAATGCCATGATTTTTGGCTAAATGCTGACTCTCCCAATATTCATCCTGCTGGCTGGTTTGAGAAAACGGGACACAAACTTCAACCTCCCAAAGGTAGGTAGGTTAGGACAGTGCATTTAGAAGCTCACATCCAAAAGCTTTTCTTGTCTGATGGCAAAGTGAATAAAGGAGTGAGTGAATGAAGTGCTTTCAAAGGAATGGAGAGAATGTAGAGGTGGACAAATCTCTAGGTTTCGGTGTCTAGTTTTTCCAAAGCTAAGTTGCTAAGTCAATTTCATTCTCTTTTTATATTATTGTATAACTCTTAAAAGCCCACAAGAACATTTTCCAACATATTTTGACAAGCAATATGATCAAGGAGAGAAACAAGCTAGAACTAAAGAGAAGTTTCCTGACAGTTAATCAGTGGAACAACTTGAATCCAGAAGTTGTGAATGCTCCAACACTGAACATTTTTAAGAAGAGATCGGACAACCATTTGTCTGAAATGGTATAGGGCAGTGATGACTAACCTTTTTGCAGTCACGTACTAAAGGGGGGGAGTGCAGGGGGATCGTAATTCATTGCACCCTGGCCCCCCCACCCATGTGTGAGCGACCCCCCTCATGCAATGCACATGCAATGACATGCAATGGCACAGTGGGCCTGAAAGGCCTGTTTTTCGCTCTTCCCCTGGCTTCAGAGGCTTTCTAGGAGCATGGGGAGGGCGAAAACGGCCTTCCCCACCCACCCGGAGGCCTTCCGGAGGCTGGAAACAGCCCGTTTCCTGACTTCCAGTGGGCCTGAAAGGCCTGAAAATCAGCTGGCCGGTGTGTGCTTGCGCGCTGGGGCTGAGCTAGGGCAACGCTCGTGTGCCCACAGATATGGCTCCACGTGCCACCTGTGGCACGCGTGCCATAGGTTCGCCATCACGGGTATAGGGCTTCCTCGCTGAGGAAGAAGATCTCCAAAGTCCCTTCCAATCCTGTCATTCTGTATTCTGCAATAAAAAAAAATACATTGTTATAAGACATGCATAATACATTGCTATTTTGACACAGTGGTATTTATACAGAGCTGACAACAGTGCTGACAAGAAACTATTAATACTCTATTAATGTTTAGGAAACTTAAACCATTAACAATTTTTAAAAAAAGGTGTTATATCAATATCAGTGAGTTCAAGTCCCAGTTTAGCCATGAAAGTCAGCTGGATGACCTTGGGCCGGTCATTCTCTCTCAGCCCAACTCACCTCACAGAGTTATTGTTTTGGGGAAAATAGAAAGTGTGTTAGATATGTTCTCCACCTTGAGTTATTTGTAAAAACAATAAAGGCGGGATATAAATAAATAAAAAATAAATATAAACTGATTTAAAATGTTGATATTAATAAACATAAGATAATTTAGCATTTACAACTGAAACCAGATATAACATTAAGAAGCAACTGCATATTCATCAAGATACTTGTTATACAATTAAGATTTCTGCCTTCAGTTGATTACAAAATACTAAGGTCTCCATTGTATTGTTACTTGTTTAGGCATGTTGAGAAAATGAGAAAGACAAAGAGAAATAGGTGACAGAAAGACAAAAGGAAAAATAATAGAAAATAAAGGTTGTTTCGTTTCTAATTTCCTTTCTTTGATGCTTCTGCTAATTTACAATGTTCATCAACATTTAAGACCCCTCAGAAGCCAAACTATAAATGTGTCATGCTGTATGATACATTGTATGTATGGGAGCCATTCTTGTTTAAGTTTGGTTAAACTTCTATTGGGAATATAGTTAATTTGACTGGAGAATTGCAACCCAAAATAAGAGATAAGAACAAATAAGGAAATATATCTTCATTTTGATTCCTCAGATTCTTGAGATGAAATTAAATAGAATTCACAGTGCTACATAAAACGAAGTTATAACTGTGAGAAGCAAAAATACAAATTCAACAAAGGCAATATCCTTATTAGGGTAACAGGTGTTATATAACCCTAATCTTGTGAAAGACCTCTAGACTTGTTTGGGATATCGTACTAGTGTAAAACTGTCTCTTCTGGGGTTCTCAGTATTATAAGGAAAGCCAATATACTGAAGTTGTCTTCAGAAACAACTACATTGCTGTAGAACAAAGGTGGCATGTGGTACTTGGAAGCTCTCAGTTCACATCCATAAAAGTACACAATGAAATATTAATTTCAGAATAAAAACGGCAATCTCAGATGTTCAAGCTCTCACCAGAAATATTACCAATTTTCGAGTGAGAATATGAACAGCTTGTGAAATTGCTGAAATTTCACAAGATTTTAGTCACTGAAAAAATGATATTATTATTATTTTATACCATAAGGCAGTATTGATTGGCACTTGAAAAGGGATGGTGATCCCTGCTGTAGCTAAAATGAAACACTATGGACTTCTGTTGGCATGTCTTTTATGTAGGGGTGAAATCCAGCAGGTTCTAACAGGTTCTGGAGAACCTGTAGCGGAAATTTTGAGTAGTTCAGAGAACCGGCAAATACCACCTCTGGCTGGCCCCAGAGTGGGGTGGGAATGGAAATTTTGCAATATCCTTTCCCTCAGGAGGGGAGGGAATGGAGATTTTGCAGTATCCTTACCCTGGAGTGGGGTGGGAATGGAGATTTTGCAATATCCTTCCCCTGCCACGCCCACCAAGCCACGCCCACAGAACTGGTAGGGAAAAATTTTGGATTTCACCTCTGCTCTTATGTCTCCTTTATGTATGGGGTTTAGGTTACAAGGAAGATGAATTCAGCTGGGCCAATTACCTGAAGATTACCAAAGCTCAGGCAGCTCCCAAGCATCTCTTTGCCAGTCCAGACAGTGTGAGTGGCTGCTGCTTTATTTTACAAATCAATCCCGGTTGTTCACTCTTGAAATAGCAGTAAGAGAGAGCCTGATTTATATTCCACAATAATACTTCACTTGATCTTTTGAATCAGGATTCAAAAAATAAGTAATTTGGACACACCTGCAATAATAATTAAAGTTCTCATCTAATTAACTAATTTCATTGGATTAATAGTAAGGATTGTAACTGATTAATTATTGGATCAAAACTATCTATTAGGGCTGACATAATTTGCTTGCAAAAATTGACAGAACCAGTAGATTGCAGCAGAGAGTTTTCTGCATCCCTTTCTTGCCGTCTAATAATTAGGCAGATTTTTGCAGCACAGAACTTGTAGGCTTAGTTTAATTTACACTTTTGTGATTAACAGTGACTTCTTTAACATTGATGAATCTGCTGCTGAGAACAAATTATTCTAAAAAGTAACAGATAATTCCATTTAGATTAACCTTTCATCATTTGAATGTACATTAAAATATTAAAATACCCATTAGATTTCTAATTTGCTACTTTTGAAAACATTACTAAGTTCCTTCTTTTCTGTGTCACAAGCAATTCTTTAACCGTTCTGGCCACAGTGTATCATAGAATTACCTCATAAAATGCCTTTGTATCTCCAAGTAGCATAAACTAGTGTTAAGAATCTATTATCCCTTAAATCGGGGGTGTCAAACTCACATCGTCACAGCATTGTCACGTGATGTATCGGGACTTTTTCTCCCTTCGCTAAACCGGGCGTGGCCAGTGCGTGACACATGCGATCCATGGGCCAGGAATTTGACAGCCCTGCCTTAGATATTACTGAATTACTGAATTTCTACTATTACTACTATTTCTACTATTCTTTACTGTTAACTATGCTGCTTAGGACTACATGGAGTTGTTCATACCTCCAGGTAGTTTGTTTGTTTATTAAATTTATATGCCATCCATTTCACTGTAGCTTTTATCTACTTCTGTTGATGCAGAATCATATAAATAGTTTGGCATAATTGCACTCTATATATATTTCCACACCTACATTATAGGATTGCAGAGGCTGCATCATGAATGACAAATGCCTGATGTTCTGTCTTCTCATTCCTCAGAATGATGCTCCCATAGGATTCCAAATAGGGATGAAACTTGAAGCAGTGGACCGTATGAATCCTTCTTTGATTTGCGTGGCCACAGTGACAGATGTGGTAGACAATCGCTTTTTGGTGCACTTTGACAACTGGGATGACACATATGACTACTGGTAGGTGAGAGATGAACACCAATAATATTACTCTATCTACTGTGGCCAACCATTGAAAGTCATGGTATGATGACATGAAAACTAATAATAAAATAATAATAAAAATAAAATTTTACTATTTTAATGGGTTGTTTTATTGGAGTTTTTTGGCCAATTTATTTAATTGTTTTAAATTGCTTTTAATTTTTATATTGTCATGGTTTTATTTTTGGCTGTATACCGCCCTGAGTCCTTCGGGAGAAGGGCGGTATAGAAATTCAATAAAATAAAATAAATAAATAATAAAATTGATTTTAATGTTTCTTGATGAAGAAAATAAACATTTATCTAGTATAGAATCTCAGGAAGTATGGAAGCGGAGGATTATACATTTCCCAGTGTGTCATAATCCTTGTTTCACTGAATTTTCACTCTGAGTAGGATATTTCACATGAAGAATGCTGAAATCTTGATAATCCTTTCTACCAGTCAAGGAGTGGGGCAAGTTACCATTGGCCCCAAAGAAGACTTTTTCCTATTGTTATCTGTTATGTGGAGGACAAGAATGGGCATTTTGCTAGGATTGTGTTGGAAATGTAAATCGTATCCTATGTGATCTTTATAACAAAACAAATCTACTCTTTCTTATTATTTTTAAATAGATAATACATTTTCACATATTTAAAACAATGCTCAATTCTCCTCCTCCCTCCGGCAACTTTTAGACAGACTATATAACTACATATTTTTATTGCAGGTGTGATCCCAGTAGCCCCTACATTCATCCTGTTGGTTGGTGTCAGGAACATGGAAAACCTCTCACTCCTCCACAAGGTGAATAATGCCTAAGCGTTGTCTACTGCCAAAGGAAAAAGATACAGGAATGCACACAGGACATTTCCAATACAGGAAATACTATGAGCCATCTAGTTGGTTACTCCTTCCATCACAGATACTGCTTTGTGATCAAATAGGAATTCACATCCCTACTTACTCTTAAAATATAAGCCCTTTTAGATACAATAATAAACAAGTACCATAAAATCATGGGAAAGATTTCTGTTAAAATAGATGTCAGTGCATGATTTCCTGAAGTGAAGTTTTGAAACTAAATGCTGAAATAAAAATGACATCATGAAAATGTAATATTTTACTTAACTTACATAACATAAAACGTTTTCGTCCTGGTTTCTCCCACTTCTTTGCCCTAGGTTTGCCCACTTTTTGGAATATAGACCCCCAAATAGCATTCAACCTTCCTATACAAGAATGTTTTATAAATCACTCATGAACTTGTAGCTTAGCCTTCCCCAACCTGGAAACCTCTAGAGGTTTGCACAGTGACCATTTTTGAGACTTATGGAAGTTGAAGCCCTTGCATTTCGAGGGCATCTGTATTGGAGAAGACATTTATGGTGTAAGATATTGATTTTTTTTATATGCTAGGCATAATCAGTCCTTGTTTTAAATTGACCATTGATTTGTATCTAGCAATAACTAACACTGATGGTCAATTTGAGTTCCCGAGAGCCTATTGCTACTGTTGAATTATTCTAAATAGATCCACTCCAGCAAAACCTTTTCATCTCCCAGATATTTTCATTTCCAGACTATCCTGACCCTGAGAACTTCTGTTGGGAAAAATATTTGTCAGAAACAGGTGCTTCTGCAGCACCAACTTGGGCCTTTAAGGTGGTGAGTAGTTTGTATTTTTTCCAAATCTCTGCTATACAGGCCTCAATATTTTCCAAAAGTTTAGATGGGAGGAAGGAAACCTTATGTAGGCTTAAGTCAATGTTCTGAAGACAGTGATTCTTCCTCTGATCTTCCTTTTCAGGGGAAGCTACTTTGGTAATGTGCAGTTTTAGAATCTAGGAATGGTGAAAGTTTTTGATGCTAGTATAAGAAACAAACCATGCATCATTTCTCTCTCATATAAAAAGACGAATCAGACCAGGGGAAAGTTAGTCGTGCAGGATGTGATTTCACCTCATAAGCACCATCTTCCTTACCTTGTTTTCCTTACCTTGCTTTCCTTACCTTTTTCCTTTCCTTTTTGTTTGCCTCACTCTAGAGGCAGCCCCATGGCTTTCTGATGAACATGAAATTGGAGGCAGTGGATCGAAGGACCCCCTCTCTAATCAGAGTTGGTAGTGTAGAGGATGTAGAAGACTACAGGATAAAGGTGGGGTTTTTTCTTGCTCTGTGCTTATGCCTTTCTTTTTCATGGTATTGCCCAGTAATTTATGTGCTTCCTTATGGTAAATGAAATGTATTGGGAAAAATAATCCAAAGTCTATGCAATGAGTATAAATGTTATTTTGTAACCCTGAATTGGTCTAATGAAGATACATCTTCTAATGGCTTTTGGGGTTTTGTATAAGCAAAGCAATAGTTTGACTGAATTGATGCACCATACTAAGCCATAATTTGTATGCATAATTTGCATACAGCAGATTTAAGTCAAAATTAAACAAGCCATATTATAGATGATTGCATGATGTACAAGCCCCTGTTTATCACTTAATTATGCCTTTCATCTATAACTTGGGAAAGCCTGGGCTTTGTTTTTGTATTCTACAATTATGCACTACAAAAAAAAATCATATACTGGATTTAAATGCTGCATTCTTAAGATTATAGAAAGTATTTATAGCCCTATGGTTATAAAGAAAACCTATAATTTCTAATGCTTGCTGAAATCTGAGAACTTAATGTATACTTCAGTGTTGGCTCTTACAACAAGCAAAAGCAGAATAAAATTTTTAACAAGAACAATAAGCAGCTTTGTTTGCTATAATTGTTATCTGTTTGTAAAATATAGCTTTCCTTAATGTATAACTGTGATTGTTTCGGAGCAGAACATACAGAGCCTGTAATGGGGAGTGGCTGGCTCTTTAAATGAAAAGCCAATCTAATGTGCCCAGAGCATGTCCCCTGACCCCTGAGAGGCCAAGAAAGCAAAAGAAGGGAATTCAGTTAGGTTTTTGGCAGAAAGAGTTTGGGGTGGCTTTGGGGTGAAGGAGTTGGCTGGAATGCTGGATGAGGTGGTTACCTCAGGCAAGGCTGAAAGTTGGTTTAGTTAAAATTGCATTAGGGTATTGTTGTTGTTATTACTACTACTATTATTTAAACTGGGTGTTGTGAGTGTGGAAACCTATTTTATAACTTGACATAAGCTGGTTTTTGTTTAAATCCTGGAACTGACCAGTTGCCTCTTGACACCTGCCTGAGTTTGGCTGAGCTACAGACCTCAAAGTTTTTGCTTTGTATTCCTGTCTACTTCTGTATTTAGCTAGATTTGGAGGAGGTGAATTCTTTCCCAGTCTTCCTTGGATCCCCAGAACAGCAGTCCCCAACTGGGACTGGTACCTTCAGTCCCCAACTGGGACTGGGACTTTCTGGTACCAGGGGCCGGTTTCATGGAAGACAATTTTTCCACAGACCGAGAAGGTGGTATGGTTTCATGCACAACCTAGCTCTGTGCATGTGCAGATGAAGCCGCACTCACTCACCCACCATCCATGGCTTGTTAGGAACCACCACAGTCTGGTTCCTAACAAGCCACAGACTGGTACGGGGCTGCAGCCCCTGTCCCAGGAGGGCTGATGTGGAAGGGAGAAACTGGTTTATAGTGAAGGAGTGGTGGCAGCAAGGAGACACAATTGGTCAGTGTCTATGGAGATTCTCAGTCATCCAGATCGTGGTTGCCCCAAGGTACTTTTTCCAAAAGGCAACTGGATTTTTTTATTTGTTTTCTTTGAAAAAAGAACTGAAGAAGCTTCTTGGATGAGAAGTGAAACATTTTCAAAGAAAAAAACCAAGAAAATCCAGTTGTCTTTTGGAAAAAGCAGCTTGGGGTAAAGTCACTTTAGAAGATTGGCTGGTTCAATTTTGAGGGCACTTCCCCCCTTATTTCAGGGTCAATATTGCCAAATATCATACTATAACATCCACTTAATTTGTTATAGCAACAGATATCAACACACCAATTCTAAAGTTCTACTGTGCTAATGGTTGTCATTTCTCAGGTACTTTCAAAAATGGGAAAATAGTATCAGGTAATAATGTTGTCAGCATCTAATAGTGAATCCAATATTTACAGAAGATAATGCAGAAAGATTTGGCAATAGCCAAGCAACTGTAGTAATGTCTATTCCTGTGCACAGTGCATAGTTTGCTGTCATGGATAGCTGATATGCTTAAGTCAACACTGATTAAGAATTGTGCATTTTACACTCAGTAAAGTTTTCTATTCTTAGTGGGATGCCACTGTTTTCCCACAAATAGTACTATTTACTATCCCCCAGTACTTTTTATTTAGATATCAGAAGAAAAAGGGAAGAGATGAGGTCAAATGAACAAGCCAAAAGGTAAAATATAGTGGCATAATTATAACAATTGCACCATCATTCACTTGTGGATGAATAGGAAGTGCAATAACATGGGAAAGAGCAGGATTCAGTTTCCATTCCCAGACAATAGAAGTGTGGCCTCTTCTAGTGTGGCCTAAATCAAGGAGGAGGAGTTATTTAGAAGTTTAGAATTTTTTTTCTGAGACTCCCCATTGATTCCACACTGCTGTGGACCAAACAGACTCCAGAATGAATAGAATTCCAACTATGCTTTTGCCTGCATGCTGGTGGATTTGAAGTGAGATGTGGGGATTTGGTAGCTTTCATCCTCTGTTTGTTTTTGTTTTTTTTAGAGTGTTGCATGCATCTAAAAGATTCATACTTCCACCTGTGAGATATGGTGTCTAAGAAGTATGAGATATATATATGGTAAAGTGAAAAGTGGATCTCCATCTTTCCACCATGAATTGACTAGGTCTGTTCTGTATGTTTGGAGGCACATCTCTCAAAGCTGGGATGACCTAATGGCCTCCAACTGTTGACTATGTGCCTTCAGATATGAAGTTCCTCAAATCATTGATCAACTTGAAGTGAAAATATGGAGAACCATCTCCTTCTGTGCCATGTGAAACTGCTTTTATGCATTTAGAGAGAATGCACCTTTGTCTCTGCTGGTTGGATGCTCCAAGGATGATTTCTAAAATCTAACTACATTCTGTTGATGTTTGCCTATAGATTCATTTTGATGGCTGGAGCCATATCTATGATTTCTGGATTGACTCAGATCACCCAGACATTCATCCTGTAGGATGGTGCTCAAAAACTGGACATCCATTACAACCTCCTCTTAGTAAGAACAGTAACTACATGTTGCACAAATACTTGCCACATTCTCATGATTATCTAGTGACAGTAGAAATAGACAGCACAGACTCCGTGAAATAATAGACAGGGTGGCATATTTTAGCTTATAATTATAACAGGTGATGAAAAAGTAACGCAAACACCTTCTATTGTGTTAATTCTTTTGCCCTGGAACTACAGTACTTATATGTGAGGGATTTTTTTAGTTCGCCAAAAAGACATAAAAACATGACCCCTAAAAATCTTGCCCATTATGAAAGACTCAAGTAGTCTTTATTCAAAGGTTTAGGATGGTTCTACATGGATGCTATTTTAGATAATTCTGCTGCTTTTTAATGCTAAATTATTGTACCAATGTTGGATTAGGTTGCTGTTTTAACTCATTGTTTTAACTAAATATGTTTATTTTAATAGTGTACTTTAATATGTTTATATAAGCCACATTGTAAGAATGGCTTTCAAACATTAAACCAAATATATAATACATAAATACTTCCTGCTTTTGAGAAATACCTACTGAACAGTTTTGAATGTTGATGTAGTTGGGTATTTCTGAAATTCAACTGTAAAATATTTTTAATATGCAACATAGAAATAGAGAGGCAAATTTTACTAATTAGAATTCAAATTTTGAACTATATTTGTTTGGGGAGGGGAGGAGAAAAACGTATAGTATATACAAGTTTTGTTTAAAGAATGAAAATTAATTGTAACTTCATGCAGATGGAAATTGCCTATGTCTTAAATTAAAGTGCCTGAGATTCAAATTATTTCTTCCCTTTTGAGCAGGGCCAAAGGAACCTGTCTCCTCTACCAATGGAAGCTGTCCAACCTTGGCCTGTAAAACCCTCCCAGCTACCAAGAGTTCCAAATATAGCTTTCATAGGTGAGCACTTATGATAACTTACAATATCCTGCTGATTATGCTGCTATAAGAAGCATGGACTTAAAGCCCCACTAAGATTTGTTGAGGAACAACTGCTACTTCAGTGTCTGTGCAACTTGCTTGGAATAAATCAATTTAACATACTATGTGAATCCTGTATCCTCATCAAGATCATTGTAGCTACTGGTTTATTGTGGCAATCTATGTTTTTATTGTTGGTTGCAATAGATTGAAAAAGGAGCTGGAACTTTTAAAATTGAGCAGGTTCAGTTCACAGCTGCTAAATTTCATTTGGCTTGGAAGATAAATATTGAGCAAAATATTATTATTATTATTTAGCACCTGCTAACACACAAAACCAAATGCTTTTTTTAATCTCTATTTTCCAGAAAGTGTCCAACACCTGGTTGTGATGGCTCGGGCCATGTGACTGGGAGATTTACAGCTCATTACTGCATCTCAGGGTGTCCCCTGGCAGAGAAAAACCAGGGAAGGGTAAAGGCTGAACTTTCAGACACTGAAAACTCTGTTCGAAAAAGGAACTTAATTGCTTATTCCCAGAAGAAGAAGTCTCGCCATCATGGAAGGTAAAGGAACAGCCAGTGTTAATCCATTGGGATGATCACACTGAGGGGTGCCATTATAATTTACAAGCAGTCATTTTCAAATATTTGCTTTATGCCAATTCCTCATAGTTTATGCACGATTTGTTGCTAAACTTGTGCTTCTCTAGGCATTATATCTATTTTTATATATATTATTCTCTTGGATCCTGAATCATCTTCTAAACTAATCTATTCTCTGTTTTTATAATCTGTTCTTATTAATATCATGCAGAATAACTTGCTTCTGAGTGCAGAGATCTGTGAGTTGGATCCTAATCAACTGTGGCATTAGAAATTAAAATAGAACATCTCATGACATAATTTTGAAGTCATATAATACATTGTCATCTTAAAGCTAAGCATATCTTAGTCCAGGAGAGGCTAGATAGAAAACAGCAGATGATGCCTTTATGTGCTTCCTTGAGCTGTGGGGGAAAACATTTTTAAAATGAAGATTAACAGGCATGTGACTTTCTCTTAAAGCTGTATACAAGGAAATTTGTAGAACAAAGGGATTGATTTAGCTCCATAAAACTTATTGTGGCATGTTTGGAAAGAACCACACTGGATATGATAAAAGAATATATACCCCATCCACCACATATTTGACATAGCAAATGGAAATATAGTAGTGGTTAAGGGGTTGAATTACCGGTACATGGAAATCTAGGTTAAAGTTCTCATTTGATCACAGAGTTTGCTCTCAGTGTGATTAAATATGGGCCATCAAATCATTGTTGACTGTTAGCAATCACACAAATACATTTTCCCACGTCCCTAACCTATCTTTCAAGCTTTCCAATGGTGCACCCATTTCTACTGCAACTGAATCTATCCGTCTTGCTGCTAGTCATCCTTGTCTTCTCTTTTCTTCTACCTTTCTCAGTATAGAGCTAGTTTTTTGTATAATATGTCCAAAGTTTTGATTAATTTGAACTGGATCATTTGTACCTCAAGTGAGAACTCTGAACTGATTTGTTTGATAATCCATTTGGGGTTTTTTTTCCTTGGCTGTCCATAAACAAACACTTCCCTTATTCACTGAAGGAAGAGGAAGTACCACACAATCAGATTTGCAAGGTTCTGTAATTGTAGGTACTCTTGATTAAAACAGTTTTAGTCTTCCTCCAGAATTAGTTTCTTGATTTGATCTACCTAGTAGGGCTTAAACAGTCCAACCCATCTCATACTCATCATTTTCTCTGAAGAGAAAATGAGGGGAGAAACCCCATCTGTGTATACATCTTAAACTCTCAAAAGAAAAAGTTAAAAAGTCACTCAAATCAAGCTCAACTCATAGTAGTTGCACTAATTTTCTTGTCAGTAACATGACATTGATTTACCTTTGTATTTTCTTTTTTTGACATCCCAGTCTAGCCTATTCCTTAGTCTCCCACTCAACTATTATCCAAATCAAGCATTGTTTTCAAGTTTAACCATGGTCAGCTAATACTTCCACTATCCATGATAGACAGGATATAAATGCAATAAATACAATTAAATAAAAAAATAAAAATATCAGCTAGATACTCCATGCAAATTTCTGGACATGGATATTTGATTTGTGGTCTTTAAAACAAAAACAAAAAAAAACCGTATTCTTGTGGATTCATTGAGAAAGATGTTTTGATAAGACATATATTCTTGAAATACATGCATCTTTTCTTTACTTGTTCTTAGGAGTACAATTCTGAGTATAAGTAGTTCTTGATTAGTGACCACTCATTCAGGTGACTGTTCAAAGTTACAATGGCACTGAAAAACAATCTTGAAGTTGCAGCCATGTGGTCATGTGATTCAATTTGACATTTATCACAATTGCAGCATCTCATAGTCATGTAATTGCCAGTTTCTAACAAGTAAAGACAATGGGGAAGCCATAATCAGTGATTTGGTTCACAACTGCAATCAGAATTGACATTATAAATCTATATAATATGACATTTTACTTTAATACTATATTACTTAGCAATGGATTTTTCTATTCCAATTGCAGTCGATAAGTGAAGGCTACCTGTATAGCATTTTTCCAAGCTGCTTTTATTCCACTGATTTCACATGATTCTGCCCCCACATATATGATTTAAGCCTGTTTTCAGTGGCAGAAGCACCGCGGGCTTGTCCTTCGCTTCTTCCAGGGTGGTCCTGCAGTCCAGATCTAAGTACCCTGTGGGATGGATCCTGTCCCCGGGCCTTGCTTTTGACACCCCTGATTTAAGGTTTAGTTAGTAGGATTTACTATAGCACATTTTCCAATTAATACTCTATAATATATAAAGCATTTTTTGTTTCTCTAGAGGGCGACCTCCTAAATATCGGAAAATCCAGCAGGAAGATTTCCAAAGTAAGTGTATATTAGTTTGTTTTTTCTATAAGTGGCAAGCGAAAAAGGGCTTATCCTATAAGAACAATATTACAAGAGCAGCAAAATAATTGTTGTGTGGATCTTCATATATAAAAAATACAACTGGAGCTGACTAACTTGATAGAATTCAAATTATGTTTTAAACAGTATCTTTGTTAAAATAGGATCTATGCTTTTCAGCATTAATGTCATTGAGGGCTGCATCAGGACTGTGGTCGACCTCGGGGGCCTAGGTGGGGGTGGCTGATGGGTGGATATGGCGAACTGTGAGCGTGGCCAGCTGACGCCACTCCCCGGACTGTTGGCATGTTTCCTCTTCGCATTGGGTAGACTGAGCTGAAGCCACGTTGGCCCAATCTTTCCCATGCTAGCCTGATCGTTCCTCTTTGCATTGGGCGGAAGCTACGCTGGCCTGATCTTTCCTCTTCACACTGAGTAGACCAGGCTGAAGCTACGTTGGTGCGATCTTTCCTCTTCACATTGGGGAGACCAGGACAGCCCTGCGGGCCGGATCCGACACATCGCAGGCCGTTTTTGGCCCACGGGTCTTGAGTTTGACACCCCTGGTCTTCAGTTTCTAAGCCAGTGCCTTAGAAATTGCAAACCAGTTAAGGCATTTCAAGAAGGGGACCAGGAGCATATCCAAATGGGTGGAATAGGCAGGGAAGGGTAATCATGCAAATAACCAGATTCTGTGTCATGCAGGACTTTAAAAGTCATAATTAGCATCTTGGATTGGCATCTAGAAAGAGATTGGGAGCCAGTGCATCTTATATACTCTGGTATAATATAGGCAAACTGAATTCAACACTGTGTGCAGTGGTGGGTTGCTTCCGGTTCGCACCGGTTCGCAAGAACCGGTAGTAAAAATTTGTAGTAGTTCAGAGAACCGGTAATAACATTGGCAGCCAGCTTAGTTGCCTGATCGCCAGCGGCTTCTAAAAGCATTTTCTTCTGCATCATCTTTGGCTGAAGAGGTGGTAGGAAAAAAAAATGCCTTTAAAAGCCTCTGGCGATCCCAACTGAGTTGCCTGATCGTCAGAAGCTTTTAAAAGCATTTTTTTCTGCAACCTCTTAAGGTTGTAGAAAAAATGCTTTTAAAAGTAAAAAAAAAAAAAAAAAAAAGAGCCAGGCCTACCCAGTCACATTACCCCCACCAAGCCACACCCACAAAATAAGCCACGCCCACAGAACCGGTAGTAAAAATTTTAGAACCTACCCCTGACTGTGTGTATGTCACTTTATTCTGGATCAGGTGGATTTTCTGGTTAGTCTTCAAGGTTAGTGTCATATACAGCATCTTAAAGGAATCCAGTAGAAAGTAAGTAAGGCATGAGTGACTGTGAGCAAGGTTTCCCAATTCAGGAATTGGTGCAGTTGGTAAATCTGTACAGATATTCCCCACCCATGACAACCATTAGCTTATTGAGCAGGAGGCGAATGTCCAGGAGGACCCTAAAATTGTTCATCAGCTCGGTTTGGGGATTATCTCATCAAAAGTCAGACATAACACATCACCAAGAGATATAGGAGAACCAAGAATTCTGGGAGGTGTAATTTCAACATTTTGGATAGGGGAAAGTTATCATAGAGTTTGGAGAAGAAGCCAATTTCTCCATACTTCAGCATGATGATGGTACCTATGAGCTGAATTCAGTTCCCAATTATTGCATCCACACATTTTTCTTCAGAGTGTTACAGAGAAAGTTTGCTTCTGCCTTTTTTGAGTTTTTTTTATCTATTTCCCAATCTAATTTGACATGTGATAAATCTTGTTATCAGCCATTTCATCAGAAAGTATGCACCAGTCTCTGTTTATGTCAGCCTTGTCAGCACATCCTGACCGTTCCTTATCCCTCTGCTGGGATCAGCATTGTAAGCTTCTGCCTGGAGTAGCTGGGATCACAGCATCCACAGTGGCCAAATGGACAATTGATGAGGTAAGAGTGTCCAAAATATTGTTTAAGCAACCTAAACCTTATTTTAATGTAATAATTTTGTATTCAACATTGTTCAGTATCTTCCAGATGCCATTAGGGATGGGATAGTATATTACCAATTCTTGGTTAATAGATCAGATTCAGGTGCTTCTGATGGTGAAATAGGTCATATTAAAGAAAGGCTTAGGGATTGTTGGTATAGAGAAAACTGCTATTTCCTTTTTCTCTCTTCTTTAATTATGTCTTTTCTCCAAAGGTTTTCAGCTTTGTACAGACGTTAACAGGTTGTGAGGATCAAGCAAAACTCTTCAGAGATGAGGTAGAGTAGTGGACTATTTTGTGTGTGTGTGTGTGTATCCTCAAATCAGTTTTTGCCTGGACTAGTTCCTGAAGTTTTCTTGGCAAGATTTCATAAGAAGTTTGCCATAGCTACCTTCCTAGGACAGGGAGAGAGTGACTGGGCCAAGGTCATCCAGATGACTTCATGTCTAATAAGGAACTGTTTCTAGCCTAATGCCTTGGCACTACACCAAGTGCTCTACAGTCTCATAAAATAAAAACTTTGTCAGGGTTCCAAATAACATCCCTAACGAAAGAAGACTCCTAGGCTAGAAGTTCCTCAAAGTTCCATTTTATTAGAGATGTCATATTGGCACATCTGGGAAAACCCGAATCTGAAAGCTTCCAGGTTTTCCCCACCCAAAAGAAAGTCCAAGTCCCTTCCCCTGCACCCGCATGTCCATCACATGGTCCAATCAATCCACCATCTCAACTGGAGATGCCTCTCAGTCATGCCACTCCAGGTGCAGGGCAGAATGTCCTTGACTCTCAGAGAAAAGAATGTTATTATGGCTAGATATATCCCCAACTCCATAAAATCCCCCCTCCCAGTTTCTCACAGCACTAAATGTGGCAGCTCTGAAGATCCAAAGAAAAAGATGGCTTCCAGGGCTAACAAACTCCTTGGCATGTGGAGTAAGAAGACTGGAGGGCACTTAGCAGGATGTCTTGCAGTCTTTCCTGTTGACTTCCCCATTGACTTTCCTTGAGGAAAGCCAGCAGGGAATGTCACAAATATTAGTAACGTGACTGTAGGATGCTACAACCGTGGTTGCCAATACAAGCTGGTTGCTAAGCACCTGAATTTTGATCATATGACTGCAGACCAGAACATTGAGGATCAGCTGTAAGTATCACTCATTCATCACTATTGCAACTTTAAACAGTCGCTGAACAAGTGGTTGATAAGTGAGGACTATCTATATTAATAATTTTTCCTAAAAGATAAGCAACCTGCCATCGCCTATTTACTCCATAAGTTAGTCTGTGCCCAAGAGTAAAATTTTGTTATGTTCAAACAGAAGTATTCACTTACCATACTTTTTAGAGTATAAGACACACTCCTCCCCCACAAAAGAGGGTAGAAATATTAGTGCATCTTATACACCGAATACAGCCATTTTTGGCCTCCTGAAACCCTGCCCCGCACGTCCCATTTTTGTGAAAAACAGGCCCATTTTTCGCAAAAATAGGATGCGCAGAGGGTTTGGGGGGCCTGTGCTCTTGGGAGCTGGGGAGGGCAAAAACGCAACATGGGGGGGGGGTTGAAAGGCCAAAAATGGGCCTGTTTTTTGTGAAAACGGGCCTGTTTTTCACAAAAATGGGGGCTTTTTTGCCCTCCCCAGCCCCAGGAGCATTCTGCAGATCTCCCAAATCCTCTGTGCGCCCCATTTTTGTGAAAGATGGGCCCGTTTTTGGCCTCCCAAACCCCCCACGCACTTTTTTCACAAAAACGGGATACACAGAAGGTTTGGGAGGCCTGCAGAGTGCTCCTGGGGGCCAGGGAGGGCAAAACCCTTTTTATTCTTGTTTACCTCTTCGAAATCTTGGTGCGTCTTATACTCCGGTGCGTCTTATAGTGTGAAAAATACAGTAATTAATGAAATGTTATGTATTCTCAGATTGAGTTTGGTTATTTTTAACTTTTTATGAAGTAATCTTGAATAAACATAAAATTTTCACTATGAATCCTTTTTGAAGCATGCATTAAAGAAGTCTTATTGTTAGCGTTCAATCTGTACAGTAAATCTGAATGCAGTAAAGTTTTTGGACTTCTCTACCTTTCTGAATTGTCTTAATTTGCATCTTCTGCTAACAGTATAATGAGATTAAATCATTGGATGTTTTAATCTGTTGCTGTATATGCATTCTACTTAAACAGACATCTCTTCCACAGATGATTGATGGTGAGGCCTTCCTTTTGCTGACTCAGGCTGACATTGTGAAGATCATGAGCGTAAAGCTTGGCCCAGCACTTAAAATCTACAATGCCATTCTTATGTTCAAAAATGCTGATGACACCTTAAAATGAACTAGCCAGGACAGCTTTTGACTTTCCACCACACAGAAACTGCCAGACTCTTTTGTCTGTCTATCTTGGATGAATTGAGACATTTTTAACTGCTGCAGTTGTAAAATCCTGCCAACTTGCTCTCTCTGAGTCTTCATTTTTGTTTACATGCAAAACTCCTTCCTTTCTCCCTCCCTTCTTCTCTCAGCCTTTTTGAATTCTGTCCTGATAATGTTTAATTGAAAAATTCGAGGAACGACTTGCTTGATGCCAGAAATCCTGCTAAGTTCTCCTGTTGGTTATGATGGCACACAACATGGGTTTGAGACCAGATTTGCTACTGAATTTAACCTGCTGTGGCTTTCATCTATCATCTCTGACTGCTTGAATTCTTACATTACAGTGTGTCTGGATTAGTATTTATTTGTTTTGCAATATATCCACTGCTCTTGGATATACTGCTACCATGTACAGTATTTGGAAGCAATTTTGAAATCTGATTTTTCTGGGCAAAAATCAGTTTCTTAAATTATCAGAAATTTTACTATGGGCTATAGAAAACAAAATTAGCAAAGTAACAATATTAACACTTTGCATTAAGGTAAAACATTCCTCTCAGTCAAAGAATAATTAATTGTTATCTGGAGCTAGCTAACTTTATCCTGTCATATTGGCCACAAGATACATGAAATGAAGAAAAAATGTGCAACACAGTTTTCAGATTCTTTGATTGCATCAAATTTGTCCCACAGTCAGTTCAACATGTGCCAAATATTTATATTTTGTTGTTTCACAATATAGATTAGAAACTTCTTATTTAAAGTTTAACCTTTTATAGTTTCACCTTAACAGTATACCGTGTGTTGCGAACATTCAATTAATTAATCAATCAATCATTCTGTTGCTAACTGCATAGAGTTTTTCCTATATCCTCTTGATAATGACTAACATATGGCATTCTGTTGGGCCATTTATGCTGTGCTCACATGGACTTAAGAAGATAGGCAGGAGTTGTAATGCCAGTCTGTGTCCCATTTAGGCAAGAGAAAAGATGGCCTGAGACAGTAGTTTAAATTTCATCAAAATACAGGATATTAATTTATTATTGTTACATTTATTTTTGTGAAGAAGGTTAGAAAGCCATATCACTTTTCTATGGTCAGATGCCCAAATATCTTGGAACAGAGGTGTCAAACTTGTGGCATCACAGCAGCGTCATGTGACATAACGGGACTTTTTTCCCCTTTGCTAAACCAAGCATGGGTGTGGCCAGCATGTGACATGGGCTGGGAGTTTGACACCCCTGTCTTGGAATTTTCCTGTTGGATTTCTTCTAATTTCAGTCAGTTTGATGTGTTTGGGGATTTTTTTTCCTTTCAATTTTTCATCTCTTATATGAACTTGTTAGTGGCACTGGATAATAGAATCATTGCATTGATTATGGTGGCTGAACTAAGTCTTTAGTGGCCAAAGATCTCTTATGTCTTCTTAGATCTAACTTGCAACGTGATTGAGCTCCTTAAGAACGCACTTTTTTCCTTTTCTTCCCACTTCAGTTTATGAAGACAAGCATGATTTCCTTTAATCATATATATACCACCAATCAGCTTCATATTAATGCAGTCTCTGAAATCTGTTTTTTAATTTCCACACAATATACCTATAGAAATGCAGCATTTTAACTTGTGAAATACTTAAGACATGTTTGGCTTTTTTCTTTTAAGTATTGGCCACTTGCTGTTTGAAACAAATATGTATCTCAGTTTTCCTCTTTCATAATAAGTGGTCTTCTAATATTATTTTTTTGTATTCTCTATGAATATCATGTGTAGTTCCTAAGAGATATGGTGCCAAGAAGAAAGAGATTTTGCATCTCTTATCAAACCCTTCTAAAAAATGCCAATGATGAATGTGCCAAACTCTTTCTATATCCAAAGAGATATACTTTTTATCCATAGGGGGGAAAATCCTCCTGGAATACCTAGATGATTCTTGACAAAGGATGTAGACTTTAAAGTCCTGTTTTTGACATAATCATAAGTCTTGTTTGCTGTGCAATTACGTAAGGCAGCCATTTGTAGGAAGTAAATCCTTCAAAGAAGAACAAAGCAATTAGTCTGTTCTTAGTAACTTTTGTTAAATTTCTAAGTACATTTCTCCTGAATTTGACAGTAAGATACAACTTTAGGACTCTATTGAGAATGACAAAGGATTCATCTTTAAACCTGAAACTGAGGAAAGGGACGCTGTTTCAGAAATGCTTGGGTAATGCTAAGGCCCTTTTTAATTGAGTTGGTACTACTATCATAGTCCTACTAAAAGTGTTGTCATTGAGAGATGTAGGCACTCCAACTTTGCTTCTTCAACAATTTTAGATTCTTATATTTGGCTCAGTTGAAATGATATATATATATATATATTATAATTATATATACATATATATATGCTTTTTATTATAATTTATTAATTATAATAGTAAAATCTAATACTGTGATCTGTGGTTTGTAGATTCATTTTCAATAGCATCCCTGACTTGTCAAATAAAGCGTGTTCCTCATCAGCCATTTCTTCCATAATATTTTGAGGACACAGCCTATCCATAAAAGCAAACATCACTATTGACTTTGGTGATACTAACTTCTGATTCCAATTTTCAAAAGTATGCTTCAATATTTTTAATGTTGAAATGTTTTGCACAATTTTAGATATCCCAGTTACGGTAATTCGTGGTTTATCAGGCTTATTTATTTTCTCTTTTAATTAAAATCTTTAGTTTCTTTTATGTCCAATTTTTAAAATTGCCTTTTTTATTTTGTCCTGCAAACAGGACAAACAAATCTATTTCCGATGGGATCGATTCTTTATAATCAGTTCCAAAATCTGATTCCACATTTATCTGGAGCCTTAATCTGTTTATAATTTTCTAGGATCAAAGTCTTATTTAGCTTTTTGCTGTTTATTTCAACTTTGTTTTATAAAAACCTTAATCTTATGATTAATTTTTTCTTTCAGTAGGGATTGAAGGAATCATCTGTTTTTTCAGACTTGTCAATCCAAATGTCGCTTAAAAGAAATTTTAACAAGCAATTTCTCATTTGTGACTTCATTGTGATTACTAAAGGAAGTTTTCAAAGTTAGGACTTTTAAAATGCACTAACTGTGATTACAAGCAAGATAGCTATTCCTGTCATTTCCCACTTCTAAAAGCCCACTGCTGTCTTGTAGTTTCTTCATGAGGATCAACTGTTCAGAGCACATGTGGGCAATCTCCTGTCCTCTCCTTCTCCAGAGAGGTTTTGAACAGCAAGTCTACTTACTGACTCTGTTTTCACTGTGTCATTAGCCCTGCTTTTCAAAGAGCCATCTTTAATCTGCCATTTCTTCCCCCTGAAGTCTTATTTTTTTCAGCTGAAATCAGCTTCTGATCGATTTTATGTATATAAACAATTGCAGTATATGGCTACTTACGATTTTTGGTACAAAACATTCTTCATCTTGTAGTTTGGATTCAGGGAAAATGTCCTTAGATGTCAAACTCTGTATTTCTTCTTTGATGTTCTGAAATATTTTGTTTAATTAACAGGTGATTGTGCTTTTCTTCATGAATTATTGTACAGGAGAGAGAAAATGGCTTTAATAGATAGGAAGGTGAGCACTATTAAGCAAGAACGGTAATATGGCATTCAGGATGGTAGAGAACATCTTGGAGGGTTTTTTGCTTCTGGTAAATGGATGTTTTGTAACTAGTCATGTTGGCTGTTGAAGCAGTTTTGTGAATACACAAGTATATTTGAGCGATTTTGAGTGTATATATCACATTTCTCAAAATTCCAAATATAATGCCCAGTCCAAAAGATTCCTCGCTTACGCTATAGATGTTGTTATAGAGGATTAGCTCTAAAAGATAGCAGATGTCAGTAAAAAAAAAAATAGCTTGGCCTCACCAGAGTTATATAGAATTGCTTTGCTTTTGCCAAAGAGCAAGGTCAATGAAGACTCCTTCCAAAAAAAAAGTAGAGAGCTTCTACTCTGAATAGCTTGTACAGAGTGGTTTGATCACTGGTCTAGCATACTCTTTTCTTGAATAACATACCCTTCATACTCTTTTCTTGAATAACACCGGACAGTTGAATTTAGTTAGGCATCAGGAGATGTCCTCAGATCCAGATACTACCAAAGTGTCAGGCTAATTCTTAAAAACCTCATTCTAATAGACCATGTTTTCCTCAGCATCAGGCACCTTAGGAGTTATTTTGTCTCAAGCATCTTAATGGCTTCTATTTTTTTTCCAAAGGAGCCAATGGCAGCTAAAATGTCTCCTGAGCTAAGTAACTCCACAGCAACCTGAGATTCTATGTTTGTCTGCTAACTGTGCTTCCATTGTAAGCTTTGGATCATATCTTCTAAGACCAAGCAAGACAATCAAGCAAACATCAGGCACAAGAGCCTGAGACCATCTTCCATATGTGGCGATGATAACAGTTTGACTAATTCCATTAGGAGGCTTCATAACGACCTTGTTTATTTATTTGTTATTTCATTGCTTTGCCATTTGTGGAATTATTTATCACAGTTCAATTTCTTTGTTTATTATTAGGAAATAACAGGGATCAGATCATCTTGACTAATTATGTATATAATTAGTACAAACACAAATTGCATCAATTCCCCAATTAAATGTGAAAATTATTGAGAAATTATAAATTAAAGAGAGAGCTGCTAAAACCTAGTGGATTGGTTTTATACCGGATGGTAATACAACACCCCAGTTTATGGCATAGAAGTATTAATAGCAGGGAGTAGCACAGGTTCCAGAGGTAACAATAAATTCTTTGCAACATGGTGAATGTTTGAGCATATGTTGGAGTGATGTTATTACTCATCTGTTAATTGTCACAAATTACAGCATGAATGTGCTCTTGCAATTGTTTTACCCTATTTACAGTACATGTGGCAAGTATAGAAATGGAGCATTACATTAGATCTACTGCCTTCTATCCAAATCAGTACTTGAGTAGTTCCATTAGAAAATTGGGCTATCAACCTATTATGGTGCTTATTCACTCGTGTTTTTCCTCCTCAAGCTAGTATGCAGGGGCTTGGCTCTATTCATCATTGTTATTCAGTAGATGAGAAGAGGG